CTTGATCTTCTTTTCGAGGTAATTTTGTGCCTCCTGCTCCTTCACACCAGCAGACGTGGCCTTGTAGCCCCAGAAGTGGCCGGCAGGGTCGATCTTGAAGAGCTGCGGGCCCTTCTCGTCGTCCACGCTGATGAGCATCGTAATAACGCCGAAAGCACGCATGGATGCGTGCTGCGTGTACACCTGGGCCACATCAGCGATACGCTTGGCCAGCACATGGCACGGAATTTTGTAGCCGAACTTGTTCTCGAACTCGTGAGCCTCGTAACGCAAACGCTGCACCTGAGCCTTCGAGTCAGCTGATAACGGAGCAATACACAGTCAATTAGTCGCCGTATTAATCCTACATTGGTTTGCCGTACATACCATAGAGGCCTGTCATCAGGCAGCCAATTTCGGGCGTGATCTGGAATACATTTGTGACCGAGTCGGGCTCGATCAGTTTGTCCTGTATCGGTAATAGCACCGTCAGCGTGGCTTTCTGCAGTATATAAGGCCAAAAAGGTGTAGTTTTACCTGCACTTTCTTTTGGGTCACGAATACGGCGCTGTCCTTGCCGCGTACGGCCACAGACGTGAGCGTGGATTCCTTGGCAGCGCGGAACGCGTATTCTGTAGAGTTGGACGAGAAATTAGGAAGATGATAGATTGCTGGAGCAGATATTAAGCTGCAGGAGGCGTACCGATCTGGTACAGCCGCCCCTCGGGCGAGAAGATGGTGATGTGGCGGTCGTATCCGTCTCCAGGCATGGCAATAAACTGAGTAGCTGCTCGATCCTTTCCTTCTCCCCCTACTTTTTGCGATCCAAACGTTGTACCGTGTCTATTCGTTAAGGTGCGTGTTTGTGTAGTCAACACCACTTTTACATATTCCTTACTTCAAGAGATTTCGCAAAACTTCATCTGATTTGCAGCACTTTAAAAAATTTCTGATTGGCAGCAGGTTTTTTTTAGTGCTGCCTATCTGTGAATGCACGTGTTTTGAGTCGAAAGCTCCTGATTCTGTGGCTTTTCCACCTTACGTTCAATGGGGCCTTGGCCAAGTCTTGGGGCTTGAGGCTGGTCGCAATAGGTAGAAAGCGTCTTGTCTAGTCTATTGTAGCGGCTAGAAGGACTGGTCGCAGTGCTGCAGGTAGGATTGTACGCAAGCGTCCGTAAGCATTAACGTTCGTGATACTTGAATAGTATTCACTGAATACTACTCACTGAGAGGTGAACGCAGTGCAAGTAGGTACACGTAGTAGGTAAGTATGAAGCGTCTTGGCTGCCAGTGAATCACTAGTGCTGGTCGCCGCAACTTCGGAAGCGCACTTTTAATTTCATCGTGGACACAACACCTCAAACTACCCCTTCACCATGCTCCCAGTATTCAACATTGTGATTGCGGTCGCAGTCTTATTAGTAGTATCCAGTAGTCCAACGATTGCAGAATCTAACGAGAGCGCGATCATGCCGAACATTACTCGGGACTTCGTAGGCTACGGGCAGCGCGGTTTTGACCCCAAGTGGCCAGGCGGCAAGAAGCTGGCGGTGCAGTTTGTCCTCAACTACGAGGAGGGCGGCGAGAACAATGTGCTGGACGGCGACGCTGCGTCCGAGCATCTCCTATCCGATATCGTGGGTGCTGTACCCTACGTGGGCCAGCGCCATATGAACATGGAGTCGCTGTATGAATACGGTAGCCGCGCAGGCTTCTGGCGTCTGCATCGCGCCTTCACGGAGCGTCAGATGCCACTCACCGTCTACGCCGTG